AGTAAGGATAGTATGCAAGTATGCTATTGAGAATGTAAAATTCTCTCCGCAGTAGATTAAACGCTCTATAAAACAAAAAAAAATGTATGACCTCTGAGGATATTCTGTATTGGTAGCTGAGAATAAAGTGTGCTGTTAATGTAATTGGTTTACGGTGTTCCCGTGTGTCCTGTTTATCCTGTGCACTTTCTTTCAGCGATGATTATCAAAGTAATCTTGCAGAACAGCCATGGAGAAACTAGTCAAACCTGATCTTGTGTATCAAGCTCATGGCACTGAACCAAACTACACACAGCTGTTGGCTCTGTTCGGCCAAGAAAAAATGTGTCAAATTATATGATATATACACACACACACACAAACTCTCTCAACTCTCTCTCTCTCTATAGAATTATATTAATATATTTTTAATTAAATACATATAATATAATTTTGTAATTAATATTGTTATTATATAAATTAATAATATTATTTTATAAATTACTATAATTAATTATATAATTAAATATTATATAATATATATATATATATATAGATCATACCCTTTCTATTCATTGTATTCATCAAATTATAAAAAAATTAGATAATCAGTCTCATAAATATGATATTTACCCAAACACACCAAAAGTAAAACCAACTTCGGTTCATATGACAAAATTAATAATAATGATCTTTTTTGCCGTTTTAATAGTATTCAAGAGAAATAAGAGATCTGCAGAAACAAAAATGCCTACAAATAAACATTGTTTGTAATTTAGAACATAACAATTAAAACAGAATCAGTATATTTTCAGAATTAAAAATTAGATTGACAAACCTGTTTTCTTTGGCCACAGCCCATCCAGAGTGATCTGGAACAGCGTGCAGCAGCGCGTGTGCGTATGTGTCTGTGGCTGTTCGTTTAGATGTAGATAGATAGATAGATAGATAGATAGATAGATAGATAGATAGATAGATAGATAGATAGACAGACAGACAGACAGACAGACAGACAGACAGACAGACAGACAGACGATAGGTAGATAGATAGATAGATAGATAGACAGACAGACAGACAGACAGACAGACAGACAGACAGACGATAGGTAGGTAGGTAGATGATAGCTAGATAGATAGATAGATAGATAGATAGATAGACAGACAGACAGACAGACGATAGATAGATAGACAGACAGACAGACAGACGATAGATAGATAGACAGACAGACAGACAGACGATAGATAGATAGACAGACAGACAGACAGACGATAGATAGATAGACAGACAGACAGACAGACGATAGATAGATAGACAGACAGACAGACAGACGATAGATAGATAGACAGACAGACAGACAGACGATAGATAGATAGACAGACAGACAGACAGACGATAGATAGATAGACAGACAGACAGACAGACGATAGATAGATAGACAGACAGACAGACAGACGATAGATAGATAGACAGACAGACAGACAGACGATAGATAGATAGACAGACAGACAGACAGACGATAGATAGATAGACAGACAGACAGACAGACGATAGATAGATAGACAGACAGACAGACAGACGATAGATAGATAGACAGACAGACAGACAGACGATAGATAGATAGACAGACAGACAGACAGACGATAGATAGATAGACAGACAGACAGACAGACGATAGATAGATAGACAGACAGACAGACAGACGATAGATAGATAGACAGACAGACAGACAGACGATAGATAGATAGACAGACAGACAGACAGACGATAGATAGATAGACAGACAGACAGACAGACGATAGATAGATAGACAGACAGACAGACAGACGATAGATAGATAGACAGACAGACAGACAGACGATAGATAGATAGACAGACAGACAGACAGACGATAGATAGATAGACAGACAGACAGACAGACGATAGATAGATAGACAGACAGACAGACAGACGATAGATAGATAGACAGACAGACAGACAGACGATAGATAGATAGACAGACAGACAGACAGACGATAGATAGATAGACAGACAGACAGACAGACGATAGATAGATAGACAGACAGACAGACAGACGATAGATAGATAGACAGACAGACAGACAGACGATAGATAGATAGACAGACAGACAGACAGACGATAGATAGATAGACAGACAGACAGACAGACGATAGATAGATAGACAGACAGACAGACAGACGATAGATAGATAGACAGACAGACAGACAGACGATAGATAGATAGACAGACAGACAGACAGACGATAGATAGATAGACAGACAGACAGACAGACGATAGATAGATAGACAGACAGACAGACAGACGATAGATAGATAGACAGACAGACAGACAGACGATAGATAGATAGACAGACAGACAGACAGACGATAGATAGATAGACAGACAGACAGACAGACGATAGATAGATAGACAGACAGACAGACAGACGATAGATAGATAGACAGACAGACAGACAGACGATAGATAGATAGACAGACAGACAGACAGACGATAGATAGATAGACAGACAGACAGACAGACGATAGATAGATAGACAGACAGACAGACAGACGATAGATAGATAGACAGACAGACAGACAGACGATAGATAGATAGACAGACAGACAGACAGACGATAGATAGATAGACAGACAGACAGACAGACGATAGATAGATAGACAGACAGACAGACAGACGATAGATAGATAGACAGACAGACAGACAGACGATAGATAGATAGACAGACAGACAGACAGACGATAGATAGATAGACAGACAGACAGACAGACGATAGATAGATAGACAGACAGACAGACAGACGATAGATAGATAGACAGACAGACAGACAGACGATAGATAGATAGACAGACAGACAGACAGACGATAGATAGATAGACAGACAGACAGACAGACGATAGATAGATAGACAGACAGACAGACAGACGATAGATAGATAGACAGACAGACAGACAGACGATAGATAGATAGACAGACAGACAGACAGACGATAGATAGATAGACAGACAGACAGACAGACGATAGATAGATAGACAGACAGACAGACAGACGATAGATAGATAGACAGACAGACAGACAGACGATAGATAGATAGACAGACAGACAGACAGACGATAGATAGATAGACAGACAGACAGACAGACGATAGATAGATAGACAGACAGACAGACAGACGATAGATAGATAGACAGACAGACAGACAGACGATAGATAGATAGACAGACAGACAGACAGACGATAGATAGATAGACAGACAGACAGACAGACGATAGATAGATAGACAGACAGACAGACAGACGATAGATAGATAGACAGACAGACAGACAGACGATAGATAGATAGACAGACAGACAGACAGACGATAGATAGATAGACAGACAGACAGACAGACGATAGATAGATAGACAGACAGACAGACAGACGATAGGTAGGTAGGTAGATGATAGCTAGATAGATAGATAGATAGATAGATGATAGATAGACAGACAGACAGACAGACGATAGATAGATAGATTTAGGCTACTGTTAAGGTTATATGCGTGTATTTTGAATCGAAAGTAACTACAAATCTATTAAGTAGAGGTGAAATTAGCGACATCTTGTGTGACAAAGTCACCATTGCAGTGTCTGAGAAATTACAAATTTTGGAAAATAAAATGATTTAAAATATTTTATTGATAACAAAATAATGTATCATGGTTGTTTCGGAGAATTCACATGTATTACAATGATAGATTATGATTTTTTAAATCATAAAGTTATAATTATAATTATAATCAAGTTAAAATTATTATTAAAAATTATAAAAAAAAATATGATCAATATGTTAAATACCAATTTTTAATTTGTAAAAAAAAATTATAATAAAAAATATCTACAATAATACCCACAAGGCTTAAAATATTATATAATCTACTATTATATAATTTAGATAATCTATATCTAAAATAATCTAAGATACATATAATATACATATTAAAATATTTAAATTATAAATAAAATATAAAATGCATTTTCTAAAATTACACCAGTCTACACCTCTGATAGTCACAAACCCCGAATAAATTAGTTGAAAAGCTACAATAATGTCAATTAAATTATAACTGTCATTCATGAAGCAAAAACACACTAAATAAATCACCTTACTGCATTTACACCCCAAAATACACCTGATAATGTAGTTAATATGACAAATATGGCTGTTAAACGTTTCGTCTGGTACTTTTATTATTTACGATTATTCTGCATTTATTTATTTACTTTTTAAGTATATAGAGCTGTTACTATACCTAACAAGTATTCCGAATTTTTTAGTAACCATTAGCTATCTAAATCGTTTCCATTTGCGTTTTGTTTCACTGAATATTATGATTCTCCGCGCAGTGCAGTACCGCCTCCGTCCGGCTCGCGTCGCTGCCGCGCTCGGCTTCTCTCGCGGTGACGTCACGGTGATGCAGACCGCGAGGCGTGCGGAAGCGGGTGGGATGATGGCGGTGGTGCAGCGGGGCTCCAACAAATGGCTCTTCACCGGAGAACAGCTCGAAAACACGCCGTCCCGCCGCTGCGGAGTCGAGCCTGACCGCGAGCTCTCATACCGACAGCAAGCCGCCAACCTAATTCAGGACATGGGACAGCGATTAAACGTGTATCCTTCACAGCAACAGCCGCGTCGTGAGAGAGTTAGCCGTTAGCATAACTGTCATTCATGAAGCAAAAACACACTAAATAAATCACCTTACTGCATTTACACCCCAAAATACACCTGATAATGTAGTTAATATGACAAATATGGCTGTTAAACGTTTCGTCTGGTACTTTTATTATTTACGATTATTCTGCATTTATTTATTTACTTTTTAAGTATATAGAGCTGTTACTATACCTAACAAGTATTCCGAATTTTTTAGTAACCATTAGCTATCTAAATCGTTTCCATTTGCGTTTTGTTTCACTGAATATTATGATTCTCCGCGCAGTGCAGTACCGCCTCCGTCCGGCTCGCGTCGCTGCCGCGCTCGGCTTCTCTCGCGGTGACGTCACGGTGATGCAGACCGCGAGGCGTGCGGAAGCGGGTGGGATGATGGCGGTGGTGCAGCGGGGCTCCAACAAATGGCTCTTCACCGGAGAACAGCTCGAAAACACGCCGTCCCGCCGCTGCGGAGTCGAGCCTGACCGCGAGCTCTCATACCGACAGCAAGCCGCCAACCTAATTCAGGACATGGGACAGCGATTAAACGTGTATCCTTCACAGCAACAGCCGCGTCGTGAGAGAGTTAGCCGTTAGCACGTTAGCACGCTAGCACGCTAGCACGCTGCCGCTTTTGATCAAGCGAAAAATGTGGCGGATCAAATGCGACGTTCCCATGCGTTAGAATTCACACAGACACACGCATGTTTCATAATTGGCGTGTTAAATACGTTGTAAAGTGTGCTCTGTGGTATAAAGTGAGTAAATGTGTGAAAAACGTGCGTATGACAGGAGTGCGATTCGGTGCGTTAATACTTGATATAAACAACATTTCTGGATTAAATCTCCCTATTATGGTTTTTGCCTAATTTAATTACAATAATAGGGGTTTTGTGTGTCTTTTAAGCGTTTCAGAGTGATTTAGACGTGACTGGTGTAGTATAATGGCTTATTGGCGTATTGAACCGTATTGATTGTTGTGTTATTGTCTATAAATATGTCGTTTTATGATTTTTCCCTTTTAATTTAGTTTTTTTGTTCAGTGCTATCATCTATATTAGTGTAATTTGAGCTGTTTTGGTGTGATTTTGGAAAATTATGATTTATGAGTATTATATTTTTGTTATATTATATATATATAATAGGTTATTTTGCAGTGTTTTTCTTCCTTAATCAAACTCTGCAGATCCCAGCTTACGATTAACACGGCAATTGTCTATATGCACCGGTTTTACATGCTTAATTCCTTTACGAAATTCCATAGAAATGTGAGTATGCAGTTTTTAATTAATTGGTTATGATTTGATTGGTTATTGATATGGTTCATATTTGTTTTATTTGTATGTGTTTGTTAATGCTCAAGATCTTTCAGGATTTTAATTGCCAGAACTAGTCTCATTCGTAACCCCATTGTGTGTGTGTGTGTGTGTGTGTGTGATTTTAAGAGGTGTTTAATAATTCTTTCCCGTCTTCGATCAGATCATTTCTCCCACTACACTCTTTCTGGCCGCTAAGGTGGAGGAACAACCAAGGAAACTTGAACACGTTATTAAAGTAGCACATGCTTGCCTGAACCCTCAGGACCCTCCACTGGACACCAAGAGCAATGTGAGTGTGGGGGTTTATGGGGGATGTAGTTTCGCTCTCGGCTTTATTCATCATTTTAGATAGCTAGATGCTTTGACAGTTGCATCACACGGACGGGAAATCAATGTGTGTTCAAACCGAGATGTTTGTCCCATAGATTTGATGTTTTCCTATATTTACATAATGACAACATTAAGTGAGTTTTGCAGTGGCTTCAATTTGCATAATGTTTCAATGATCATTTCTCAGTGAAACTGAATATTTTGTATGAAGTATTGTTGGACTGGACTTTATTTTATTGTTTTGCAGTTTATTGGATCATTTTTCCAATTCAGATTGGAATTTTTTCCCCCACAGAAATCTGTTACATTGATAGATGTTAAAAACAAACAATTTCCCAATTTTTTATTTATTTATTTATGAAAGTAAATGGGGCTTAATTTGATTTTACATGTTCGTAGGATAAACAATTAATTTTTAATTTCTAAAAATAAAATATACAATGTTTACATGTATGTATGTGGAGATGTACCTTTCCTCTTTTTTTTTTGTTAGGAGTTATAAAGAATAAGTTTAGGAGCATTTATAATGAAAATAAATGGGGATCTTTTTGATTTTATGTTGCTGGTTTTTATTGTATTTATTAATAATTTGATAACATTGACAGTTTGAAAATATTTTTTTCCCTCTTTTTCTGAAGTTATGCATAATAAGGTTAGTAGCATTTATAATGAAAGTGAATGGGGCTCTTTTTGATTTAGTCGTTTTTAAGAAATAGACTTTTGAAATATGTATTTATTTTTGAATAAAACATTCTTTATTTAAAAAAAATATATAAAAAAGAAATCAAAGCTAACATAATACCCACAATGCTTAATAGTTGAAAACTATTAAAAAAAAAATGTTTTTATTGTATTTAATAGTAATTTTATAACATTTCAGTTTGAAAATAAATATTTTTTCCTCTTTTTCTGAAGTTATGCACAATAAGGTTAGTAGCATCTGTAATCAAAGTGAATGGGGCTCTTTTTGATTGTTTTCTTAAAAAAGCTTAAATTAAAATAACTATGCTACTCTCAAGCCTTAATATAAATATATTATAATATGTAAATTCTGTAAATTGATTGGCCATCACCAGAAACATTGGGATCAGACCCCACTAATGAGCTGATGTGATTGTTAAACCGCAGGTATACCTCCAGCAGGCTCAAGAGCTGGTGCTGTTGGAGACCATAGTGCTGCAGACACTCGGTAAGTGCCGACTCCATTACCAGGATCTGGTAATAAATCTGTGCTTAATGAAAGCATTGAACATATGAGTCCTGTCTAACCGGTGATTTTGTTTCAGGGTTTGAGATAACAATAGATCATCCACACACAGATGTGGTGAGATGTTCCCAGCTAGTGCGAGGTAGATGCTTCCAGCTTTTTCTCTTAGAATTTCTAAATCTCTCTTTCACGGTTTCTTTTTTGTGTGTTTTTTTTTTTTTTTACTGGCTCACAACTGTTTTCAGCATTGATGATAAATGTGAGCAGCAAAAAAAGCTATTTAAGTTGTAGTAATACTTCACAATATTACTGTTTTTACTGTATTTTTAACAAAAATAAATGCAGCCTTGGTGAGCATAAGAGACTGCTTTCAAAAACATTCAAAATCTTACTGACCATAAACATTTAAGTGGTAATGTATATTATATTGTAATATAAATATATTTGTGTATTATATTATATTTCTTTATTAATATTATACTTCACATTTTTTGTGGTGCATAGTGTAAATTTTGTCTTTATAAAGGCAAAACATGGTTGCAGAGTCTCACAGAAGAGTCACTATGTAAATTTCACTGTATTGTATCTAATGCGTCATCGTCTCTCTCTCTCACACTTTCTGCCCTCAGCGAGCAAGGACTTGGCCCAGACCTCCTATTTCATGGCTACCAACAGGTTGTTACCCTGACCCCTATTTGTTGCACTGCCATGGCACCCTATGACTTCCTATTTGGCAGGGTTCTCCTTCCTGTGTCCAACGCCCTCTCGCGCCTGGGCGGGCTGTTTTGCTGCCCGGCCCCGTGCAGTGCGGTGTAATGTACGGAGGGCTTGCTGTTGGCACAGAAGGTTGAATACACAGCCTGGAGTGTAGAGGTGCTAATAGAGATATCTTGATTGAGAGTGCATAGGTCAATAACTCAATTGGTAGCCTGAATATCAGCTCAGAGTTCAAAGGTGTAAACTTAGAGATTGTCACGGTAAGTACCAGAGAGTGCCTTCTTTTTCATGTTTCTAATTCTTGTTATAATTATTTAAAGAAAAAAAATAAGTTGAAGTATTCATCATTTAGGATAGTAGTATTTCTTTCAAAGAAGTTTTTGCTGTCATACCCTTGGCATAATGAATTTGTAGAAGATTTTTGCTTTAAAGAAGTTTCAATTGATCTAGAAAATAGACTTTCTTATATACATTTATTTATTTTTACATTGTTAATACATTTTAATTTATGGTTTGAAGATTACTTTGTATTGTCGGTACTTTAAAGGAATAGTTCACCCAAAAATGAAAATTTGCTGAAATTTCTCACCCTCAGGCAATCCAAGATGTAGATGAGTTTGTTTCCTTATGGGAAGACATTTGATGAAATTTAGCATTACATCACTTGCTCACCAATGGATGCTCTGCAGTGAATGGGTGCCGTCAGAATGAGAGCCCAAACAGCTGATATTAACAACACAATAATCCACAAGAAATCCACGCCACTCCAGTCCATCAGTTAATGTCTCGTGAAGCACAAAGCTATGTGTTTGTAAGAAACTAATCCATCAAGATGTTTTTAACTTAAACCGTTACTTCCGGCTAATATACGAGTCCTCTATGTATAATATTGCTTCTTCCAGTGAAAAAGTAATCTTTTCTGAATCAGGAGAGAAACATGCACGGATCAAGCACCGTTTACAAGCCAACTTGGCTCTAAATAAATATGTTGGTGGATTTTGAGGTGAGAGGACAACAAGCGAAGGACTTTTTCACTGGAGGAAGCTTATTATAGGTTATTTTGATTGTTTAATAAAATGCCTTAATGGTAGGTTTGTTTGCGTCAAACACGCAGCTTTTCTCTTCACAAGACATTAATTGATGGACTGGAGTGGCGTGGATTATTGAGATGTTTTTATCAGCTGTTTGGACTCTCATTCTGACGGCACCCATTCACTGCAGAGGATCCATTGGTGAGCAAGTGTTGTAATGCTACATTTGATCCAAATCTATTATGAGGAAGAAACAAACTCATCTACATCTTTGATTGCCTGAGGCTGAGTAAACTTTAAGCACATTTTTTAATTTTTGGGAGAAATATTCCTTTAAGCACCATTTAATATTTACTCAATTTAAAAAAATATTTTCTCATGTATCGTAATTACTTCCTATGCTTTTTATCCTTAGCAATTTAATTCAGGGACAATCCCCCCATTGCACTCTAGGTACCTCCGGCACACTATTATTATTTCTGCTCCCTTTTTGAGACCAAACCTGCAACCTTTGTGTTAGCAACTTAAGTCTTTAATCAATCAGGTGGCCTCTCATTAGCCGACCTAAAACAACTTAATTATGATGGATTGCACTGAAGTCTTATCCTCTGTTGTCACAGCGACTAAAAAATCATTTCAAGCCAGTAAGACGGCTTTGAGCTGGTTTGGTCATTAACGCAGCAGGAAGTTGAGTTGCTGTTTATGCCCACTTGCTGAGAGAGAGCGTTTTCGATTGAAAAAAGGGCTAGGGATTCAGAAACCCAGCATTGGTGTCGGTTATGCTGATGCCACACTTTAAATGTTAATTGAGTTATTTTGTATTTTACTGACTGAATCTGTTTCATAAATTGCATACCGTTTTGTTTTACAGCCAACCAGACAAAGAACATTCTAGCAAACACACCTGACTGGACTATGATCAGCTTTGACATGATATAATCATGATTATTACGATGAACTAAGAAGAATGGAAATGAATTTAGGATTATTGAATTAGGATCTTAGGAAAGCATTTCTCATGTCCTCCATTTGTAAACTAGTGTTTTCTCTGTGTTTTCTGTGTTGTCTCTCTTGCAGTCTGCACCTGACCACCTTCTGCCTGCAGCACAAACCCACAGTGGTGGCGTGTGTCTGTATTCATCTGGCCTGCAAGTGGTCCAATTGGGAGATTCCTGTCTCTTCAGATGGGAAACATTGGTGGGAATATGTCGACCGGTCCGTGACTCTGCAGCTGCTCGATGGTCAGTCAAACATGACTTAATTTTTATTTATTTTTTGGTATGTTTTTTATATTAGGGTTGCACAAAAACTGAAAAATCTCTTACATTAAAATCAGTTGTGGATAAAAATCAATTAAAATTCTATTACTCATTTTATTTGTTTTATTAATTTGATAAGTAAAGTGATCTTTCTCGATTGATTGCATTTCAAATGATGATTTTTAAGTAATTGCAGCGCTTCGCTTAAGTTTTTGTACATGAATATTCTGTATATTGTATATTTTGTATATTCTCTGTTTTTGTAGACCTGACTCACGAGATTCTCCAGATCCTGGAAAAAACACCAAGCAGATTAAAAAGAATCCGAAACTGGCGGGTGTGTAAAAATGCTTTTGTTTGTATGGAAAAAATACACTAAACCAAATCTAAAGAATTATTATAGATTTTTCTGATAAACAGTTTAATTGCAAGTAGTCAAGTATTAGACAAATTTTAAGTTTATTTATTTTTGTTCACATTGCAGGCCAATCAAGCTGCCAAGAAACCAAAACTCGACAACCAGTCTTTAGACGGTTCCTTCCAGACATCTCTGAGCGAGGACACTTCATTAATGGATAGCATGTGTGACATCAGAGGGGGGATGTATTCTGAACCATCCACCTCTTTCCCATTGGATGGGGCGTCAATGTCACTCAACGGCCTGTCGAACCTGCAGAGTTCTGCTTTCAGCTTTTCTGCACCAATTTCCCAGAGCGCAGACGCATTTCTCGCGCTCCAGGGGGTGCAGGTGAGCAAACAAGGACATGCTCCGGCAACTCTCGCCCCTCAGAAACTCACTCTAGAGAAATACCGTGAAAAACATGCTGCCGAGTTAGAGCAAAGACGCAGACACGAAGAGGAGGAAAGTGACCAGCATCGAAAACAATCCGAACCGTCTACGTCAATCAGGGTGAAGTATTCCCAACAGCAGGTACCGGAGCGATCGTTGAAGAGCGGGTCGCTCAAACGGCGCCACCCTTCCTCGTCTGAGAATGGTTCTGCTAGTCAAGAAGAGCTGAAAATGAAGATCAAGGTTTCATCCGAAAGTAGCGGCAACAGTAAGAGTCGTCACAGTCCGCGCTCGAGCCGTGAGAAACATCGCGAACATTCATCGCACAAAGCGGTGAGACATGATTCGTCGCACTCACACGGTAGTCACCACCACCATCACCACCATTCATCCAAATCTCACCGATCTTCCAAGAGCCACTCCTCCTCTGCCTCTGTATCTGTCAATCAAACGATAGGCCACGCCCAGTTTGCGAAGATTGACAGGAGGCTGGGGGAGGGGCAGAGTTCTGAGTCTAATGCTGCTTTAATAAATAATGGTCCACACATGGATTATGAAGACACTTTTAATATGCTTGATTCCCTATTAAATGCACACAACTTCTAAACTAGCGAAAAAACCTCAACAAAAAAAAAAACGTACGATTTTCGTTCCTTAGCTAATTTTATGCAAGAATCACTAGTCCGTTACATGTCATAGTCTCTCTTTGATTTAATCATGTTTTATCACTGAATTTAAAGAAAAAACTACAAAGTGAAGGTTGTAACGACATTTTAGTGTAAATGTAAAAACGACAATGGCAGATTTATGAATTTAAAACCTCGTAGAGTCGTAGAGCTTGCTAAAGAGAGATGCCTCTGGCAATTTTAACCTGTTTTAGTTGGAAAAACGCAATGTGATAAAGTGAACTGCTTTAATAAATAATGGTCCACACATGGATTATGAAGACACTTTTAATATGCTTGATTCCCTATTAAATGCACACAACTTCTAAACTAGCGAAAAAACCTCAACAAAAAAAAAAACGTACGATTTTCGTTCCTTAGCTAATTTTATGCAAGAATCACTAGTCCGTTACATGTCATAGTCTCTCTTTGATTTAATCATGTTTTATCACTGAATTTAAAGAAAAAACTACAAAGTGAAGGTTGTAACGACATTTTAGTGTAAATGTAAAAACGACAATGGCAGATTTATGAATTTAAAACCTCGTAGAGTCGTAGAGCTTGCTAAAGAGAGATTGCAAGATGCCTCTGGCAATTTTAACCTGTTTTAGTTGGAAAAACGCAATGTGATAAAGTGAATGTTTGTATGTTCTTCATGCTTGATTCACAATGTTTTTTGTTTTTCATTAATCAAAGGGATGAAAATAGAAACGTGTGACTGTTTACAAAAGGAAGGTGCAGATATCTGTTCACTGTTATTTGTATCGATATCTAATTTCACGAATGCTCAGGTTTAGAGGTTCTTAAAAGCGAAAAACGTCAGCCGCAACGTAACTTCTCGAATTCTAGCTGAATTTCCTAAAAAATGCCTGTACACAGATTCCATTGTCACTTTCCATATATTGTAAATCTTAATGTACTGTAAAGTTATCTATTTTATGTTGTTACCCTCTGTTAGAAAGCTGAACTGATGACATCATCGTGCCCAGGGTCCTTTGCGTAGTAACAGTTTCGTCTTCTGATTTTGAAGACGTTATGCTTGCAATTCGTTCCCCCCCTCCCCCTTGACCCTTTAGAGTAGAGGAAAGCAAAATGTCTTTTTTGGCAAGAAGACGGTTTTATCGGTTTTGTTTCGTGCGCCGATTGTGAACGGTCAAGATCGCTTCCCAGAATTCTCAGCTGATCTGTTCTGTTCATCATGGTGTACGTCGAGCCTTAAAACTGTACGATGAGATTTTAACAGGCTGTGTGTATCTGTCCCATTTCCTATGATCTCAGTATTTAAGATTAGAGTTCTGTTCCTGTCTTCTCTCTCACTGGCTGCTGATTCTGATTGGTTAATAAGTGGGCTGCCATTCAAAGGAACCAGCAGTCAACTTCCTGTTCTCTGTCCGGTGCTCTTAAAACAGCTTTAAGAGCGGTTTGAAGGGTTTGGATGGGGATAACGCACTCTAGATGTGGCCTAGATGCTTGTTGTGCTGTTACAACCTCCTTTCACCAGATACCAAAGGTTTGTGCCTCAGTGTTTGCACACCGTTGGAACTGTATGAAACTTTTAGGTTTCAGTCTTTATTTTATTTTATTTGGAATGCCACAGTTCTTTATTATAGTATTAGATATGAGTCTGTATGAATGATGTTTTGGATTGTCTAATAAACATCCAAGAGAATTGCTTATCAAAATCCGTTGTCTTTTTTTTTAGGGGCCACGCACCGAAGGTGCGTAGGCACCTATTGTATCCGTTGGCATTCTTCTTCCGCCCATAGAACTGTTTGTGGGAAAGTTATGAAATTTGGCAAACAGATCATTAAATCATCATTAAACACAGCAAATCTGGTGTCTCTAACTCACTCTCTAAAGCCACCACTTGTCCAAAGTTTCACTCATATTTATGCTAATAACTTTTGAACCATATGGTCTGATTCATTGGCTCTGAGTCGAATGGACACCAAAAATTAAAATGCTACAGGTCAAGATTTTTCGCAATTTTTTAAATAGAAAAACCTACTTTTTCAAACTCGTCCTAGACAGTTTGTCTGATTTTCACCAAAATTGGCTCAGATTTCTTCAGACAATGTTGGCAGAAAAGTTATGGAATTCAAGTTGATTAGTCAAACCGTTCACAAAAATGTAGATGAAAAGCATGCAAATATGAAGATGAGGCTTTAGCTCCGCAATGCTTTAGCACAGGGTTCCTCAAATCTTGCCCTGGAGGGCCAATGCGCTGCAGAGTTTAGCTCCAACCCTGATCAAACTCACCTACTTGTGATTTTCTAATGATCCTGAAGACACTGATTAGCATGCTCAGGTGTGTTTGATTAGGGTTAGAGCTAAACTCTGCAGGAAAGTGGATCTCGTGGGCCAGCTTGGTGTGTTATAATAACTATGACGTGAGGCTACCTGCACAGTTTTGGCACAGAAATATGAAAAATGGATATCTTCTGAATGGTTTGGCCACAAATCACAACACTGGTCTCTTTAGATTCGGTACAGCATGCAGAGTCGAACCATACCAAGTTTTGTTGTAAAATGCTATATTTGATGAATGCATGGTGTATTGTTACGAAACTTGGTATGTGTCTTCGGCACCATGTCGTGATGTACTCAAAAAGTTCCGGGTCAGTACCACCTTATGGTCAAAAGTTATAATGAAATTTCCAAAAATGCTAATAACTTTTGATTAAATTAGCCTATTGTAATGAAACTTGACTCAAAATATTCATTGGGCCTTGATTTTCACCAAAATTTAGTTAGATCATCTTTGGACTGACAAAAAGTTATGGATTTCGTGTTGATGGACGAAACCATTTTTGTATAGCACTGCAACAAAGTTGAGGCATGATGCCAGACTATCTCTGCAAAGCTTTGACATATTGACACCAAACTTTGTATTTGCTATTGTCACCTCACACTGACCTCACCACATCAATTTGGTAACAGCGACGCTTATTGGTCAAAAGTGATAAGCCATTAAATCATATTACTAGTGGTTGTATTTATGATTTTTCAGCCATTTTGACTAAAATCATCTTAAAATGTCTTCTATTACTCATTGCTACAGTTGGTCTGATGCTTGCAGCCATGCTTGCTTCTGAAGTGCTTGGCCTCTTAATTGCTTGCAGCTATATTACTACTATTTTAATGGATGTAAGTCTTATTTTTCTTTTTTTGTTGTTTCAAAACTACTTGATTTTTCTTGAGAAAAAAAAAACTGGTAGAGTAAAAAATATCACCTCATTCAAAAAAACTGCAGGTTTTGTTCGTGTACGCAAGCTTTATGCTTGCGCTTACACGGCTCCCTATGAACAACATTTTGAAGATCAGCATATCTGCTGGAAGACCGCAGTCCCAGTAAAACAGCCGGCTTTCCTCGTCCCAAACCACAAATGGGGCTCAAAACTGACATGTTTAAACTACAATATAAGCATGCAAGCTTTTGCTGAGGGAGGCGATTAGTACATCAGTTCCTTTTTTTGCATACTGCACATTTTGGAAATGGTGAAAGTCATTTTTTTATACGTAGAGTAAACATGCATACTACACATAGAATGGTAGTATTCCATTTTGAAAACATTAATTGTGGTGAATTTAGCAGAACCAGTACAGCTCCTCTCCTGACCACCAGATGGTGCTCTTGAGTCACGTGTATCCAGCATCCTGCGGTTCAGATATATGTTCTGATGAAACCACCACAGACATCAAAAAACCATCTTGTTCCCCGAGACGACGATCTGGTTTATGAAGAATGTCAGTGTTTTTTACGTAGAGTCATTTGAATATGGCGGGCTGGTCTTTGGTAATAAACTAGGTGTTTTGACACACTATCTTCTGTTAGCATCTGCTTCTAACCTCAAAATTACATTTTCCTAATTTTATACACTCATAACTCACTCCTCCTGAAGGGCAAGTGCTGCCTGTCTGCTTATTAGCTTACCTGAGAAAAATTTGGTTTCTAAGGAGGTCAGTTGTACTTGGAGAATGCTAACCGTAGGCTGCTAGGATTTGACTGGATTTTGAAAAAATTAGCATAACACATTACTAGCTAATCTAACCCACCAACACAGACTTTATTATATTGGCAAAAAAAAAGTTGTTTACGAAAACATTCAGACTCTTTGGTTTTGTTTACGATAACACTGATTGGTGAATTGCATACAATAAGACAAGGAACATTTATTACTGATAAATCAAAGACTTGTGGCTTTTACATTTTTGAAGCTGTGCCTCCCCGATGAGCCGCCACTGATTATAACGATAACTATATTAGCGTCCACACCAACAGACGATAACGCTTTATCATAAGTACTAGTTGCAGTTGTTGTCTGCTACTTTAAATGCTCCAGCTGGTTAAAGTCGTTGGATTCTGCTTTTTTAAATCGTTCATTAGCTTGAAAAAGTCTATCTAAAAGTGATTCCAACAATATCGTTCCACTGTGTCGTTATCATTATAGTTGGGATGTGGACTTCCCTATTCTCATAAAGCCATTATTATATAGTTATAGTTAAAATTAAGGTTATCATCCTTGGTGTGAATAGCCTATTAGCGTTGAGGCTAATGCTAACACAACGCCTAAATGTTGAAAGAAGTACTAACTTAGAACTAAGTCATCAGATACACACCAAATTTTCGCCCCACATAAAAGCAGACTGAAACTTTCGTCCAATCAAATTCTCTCTAGAAAGAAAGCTTCCCTCCTACTAATACCACCTGCTACCGATTAGCAAGTAGTTTAGTAGTTTCTCACAAACAGATTTTTTGGTTGTTGTGTGTGAAAAACAAGTGCTTTAAGATTCTCCTTCCAACTTCCTATTTGTTATCATCTCAAATGCCCACCCAAAAAAAGGAAACTGCACTTCTAGTAATTTCACGGGCCATTTTAAGAAGGTAAGAAAAGTTCATTTGAATTTCATGTCATCTCAATTTTAGCTTCTCCTGCCTTTTGTTTCCATGCTTCCTTTCCTTTTCTCATTTCCTTCCTTCCTGACCTTTTCCCCCTCACCTTTCCTTCCTTGTGGCTGAATGGAGACGGGGACATTTCAGTACAA